CCCCTTTTTTTTTTGTAACACGCCACTAGAAACACTCACAATATAATCCAATCAATCACAATTTGGTTGTTCTGTTTAGGCTGTCGAAAGACGATTTTTTAATTATTTTCTCTCGTTAACTGTTCTAGTTTTAAAAATTTTAAAACATTTACAAAATTTCATAAACATGTCTGTATGAACCCCCGAAAGCAAATGACGGTTGTATTGTTATTACAACATTTATCTGTTAATGTTTTTTTTTTATTTTTTTTTTCAAGTTTTAGCATGTTACTAATTGATTTTGTTTTATTTTATTGTTTTCTTTTTGTTTTTCTTATGTTGCATTTTTTTTGTTATTATTTTACAACAAGCAGAGCATCCACTACAAAACACATGCATATACACATGCTCATAACTACACACCAAATTTAATATTGGAAAAGAAAAAATAATGAGTTATACCTATTTTAAAATAATTGAATAATATACAGTATATTAAAATTAATTAATTTTCTGTGTAGGTATGACTTGTTAATAGTTGTTCCTAAGATAAGTTAGCAAAACTGTTACATGGTATTAAATTAATCGTTTCAATAACGGTTTTGCTTTCAAAAGTAAAGTAACAAACAGTAATTACTCATTTCAAAGGTAGCTTGAAGACTTCAAAGAAATTCACTAACGCTAATAAGCAAACTATTCATAGCATTTTAAGTTTATTTTTAAATTGTCGTATGGTACTTAGTGACATTATAATATTAAATTCTAGTTGTTGTTCTTCAGGCAACTGACTAAATAAATGTATCATTGCATTTTATATTGGATAGTGTCAGATTTAATAGAGACGTTTTACCTGGACGAAGCTTCATATTTTGTTTTATAGGCCTGTCGAAAGGGGTCGGATTTATAAGATTCGATCAGCGTATGGAGGCTGAACGTGCAATTCAAGAACTAAATGGAACCATCCCCAAAGGGTCCACGGAACCCATTACTGTTAAGTTTGCTAACAATCCTAGTAACAATAATAAGGCTATCCCACCCCTAGCAGCTTATTTGACACCACAAGCAACCAGGCGCTTTGCAGGACCGATACACCATCCCACAGGTCGATTTAGGTTCGTTTTTTTTTTTTTGTGTTACTCTGTTATGTACTCCTCTCTATACAGTTAAAATTAGAATTGATGGCTATCTGTAATTTCGAATTGATGTGATACTGAAATGGTACGATGTATTTAGGTATTCTCCGCTGGCCGGGGACCTATTGGCCAATTCGATGCTACCTGGGAACGCAATGAATGGCTCCGGATGGTGTATATTCGTTTATAATTTGGCACCGGAAACGGAAGAGAACGTATTGTGGCAGCTTTTTGGTCCGTTCGGCGCCGTCCAGAGCGTTAAGGTAATTAGAGACCTACAGACAAATAAATGCAAAGGTTTCGGCTTCGTGACGATGACGAATTATGACGAAGCAGTTGTCGCGATCCAGTCCCTAAACGGCTACACGCTCGGTAATCGAGTGCTGCAGGTCAGCTTTAAGACCAACAAGAGTAAGACCACATAGAAAAGCGGCGAAACGCCGCTACCGTGAAGTGTAGACACCGCGACCCATGCCGCCTCCCTGTCCGCCTCTTCCTCATTCCTCTAATTTAGTATTTATTGATCAATTAATTATTATTCTATTATGCTATTTGAGATGTTTGGTTTTCCTGTTTAGTTGAGTGAACTAGGCGGAAGAGGGAGTGCCGCATGGGTCGTCGACTTGTGGCAAGGGGAGAAGCGTAACAGCAACCCCCTCGCCACGGTTACTTAGTACTTATATAAGTTAC